AAGCGACAGTTGTCGTGCCGCGCCGCATCAGCTAAAGTCTGTCTACACTGGACATGACAAAGCGACCATTGAAAATCATTTGAAATTTGTGTCAGCAAGTCATAAATAGAAAGTAGCAGCAGTTTACTGTCGGGGATTTGTCATGCTCGCGTCCGGTGTAGACACGGTGTTAGGAATCGTTATTTGTTTTCCCTTATAAGGATTCACGCTTCGGGCACACCCCCGCCGATGTCATCGTCCATCGCGATGTTTCACTGTAGACATCGTCCGATGCCAGTTTTGTAGACATCGTCCAACCCTACAGCTTACATGAACTTTCAAGATGTTTTGAAGAGTTTGCGTTGAGGGCTAGCTGTGCACTTTATGTTGTGTTCGAGAGATCAAAATAATTTTTTGCTGTATCCACTCCTAGTATATGATTCCCATTTGTAGTTTTTAAATATTGAGAATCCGATCTGTCCGCCTGCAGTTTCAAAGAACAAACATGTATGTTGTGTTCATTTCCGTCTTCTGTTTTTCTGTGCTGTAGGATTATCGTAACAGTGATTTGTATTGTATGTATTTCTACTGTATCAGTTTTAGTAGTATTTTGATTATTTTTACAGAATTTAACTACATCACGGACGATATGTCCATCAAATTTATCTTTTAACACTTCAGATATTGACATCTGTGAATATGAGATTTAAATTTCATGCTGTAATATCTAGTCATTGGCTTTGTTCAGAATAGCATACTTGCATACTTCACGTTATGTACCATAGGCCTGCAACAGTAATGCTATGTTTCTTATTTAATGTAGCAAGTGTTAACCCTGCAGATGAATGCATTTTTAGTCGAATTTGGTCCAATCAGTCAAAAAGGAGATATTAATAACAATCAGAGCTTATATTGCTACCAGTTCATATATCACTTTTTAAGTGGAATGTTGAGCATGTTGCATTGTGGGATGTAGTGGTTTTTTTTCCATAGCACTTTATTGCACACTGTGCCCAGTCTAAGTAATGCATACTGCAGATATATTATTAGTATGCTATTCTGAACATAGCCTTTCTATAAAGAGCCATTGAAAGTTTGAACACTGTGTGCGTTATATCTGAATATGGGATCATAATTATATGAAATAGCGTACTTAAGGTCTGAGCTCACTTCTTTGAGCTGACTTTATGCACTAACTAGTAAAAGGTAGAATTGTCCTTAATATTGGGAGATTGTTTGAATATATTAGAAAAACTATTTAATTTGCACAAGCCATCAGGGCTGGAAGAGTAAAGGGGAACCTGGAAAAGCACATTATTTTGAATCTCCTGAGAGACTTTTACCGTTGAATGTGAACTCATCTTGACATTTGTCTGCTTTTGAAACCCTGGTCATCATGTACATCAATAATGAACACAAGACGTCCATAAATGAAATGCATCGTTCCACTTGTACAGGTTTACTATAATAAAATACACTTTGAATAACACAGTACAGTCAAGACCATGCGTAACTGATTAAATGCATAATTAAATAAATTAGGGGGAAAAAAAAGAATCAACAAACTCTGTCCAGGAGACTGAAGGTGCATGTAGGGTTAAAGTGCATCTTCAGTATAACTGCTGCATGCTACAGAGATGCCAAGACTAGTACACACTGCTGCAGAAAACGTCTGAAACGAGCGTCATCAGATATACATCATGTAGTGTTTGTGAAGGTGATTTTAGACAATGCTCAGTTGATTTGATTACTTGGTTTTTGCTCCGGCAATGAAAATGATTGCAAAAGAAGCCAAAGTGGAATCAACCACTGCATGTTGCCGAGCAACAGCAAACTAACAGCCCGTCCAATCAGAATCAAGAACCAGAACTGTTGTATAAAAGAGACTTGTAGCATGTAAAGGTTTTAGTTAGAGGAATAGATCACCTAAAAATGAAAAATTGCTGAAAATTCACTCAATCAAAGATGTAGATGAGTTTGTTTCTTCATCAGATTTGGAGAAATGTAGCATTGCATCAGTTGCTCACCAATGGATGCTCTGCAGTGAATGGGTGCCGTCAGAATGAGAGTCCAAACAGCTGATAAAAACATCACAATAATCCACACCACTCCATTCCATCAGTTAACGTCTTGTGAAGCAGAAAGCTGCATGTTTGTAAGAAACAAATCCATCATTAAAACATTTCTAACTTCAAACCGTTGCCCACAGCTAAAATATTAGTCCTCTATCCATAATATTGCTTTCTCCGGTGAAAAAGTCTGAATCAGGAGAGAAATCTGCACAGATCACACATCGTTTACAAGCCAAAACAGTCCAAAAGAGTTCTAAACAACTATGTGGGTGGATTTTGATGTGAGAAACAACAGGAGATGGACTTTTTCACTGGAGGAAGCGTTATAATGGATTATGGGACATTTTTGACCAGAAGCAACTATTTAAAGTTAAAAACATCTTAATTATGGATTTGTTTCTTACAAACATGCAGCTTGATGGACTGGAACGGTGTGGATTATTGTGATGTTTTTATCAGCTGTTTGGACTCTCATTCTGACGGCACCCATTCACTGCAGAGGATCCACTGGTGAGAAAGTGATGCAATGCTACATTTCTTCAAATCTGATGAAGAAACAAATTCAACTACATCTTTGATGGCCTGAGGCTGAGTAATTTCTGCTATTCCTTTAAGTGATGCATTTGACGGAATGTGCAGGAAAGGGCGTTTGCATTTGATTTGCAGCATCTAAGCATCAGGAAGTCTTTTCGTTTCAAAGACAGATTTAAGCGACTGCTTGAGTGTTGAGTAACAGGTGAGTGGCAACAACCAACGATCTTCCATCTAATAACGTTGGATGCAGCAGTCGAGAATGAACAACGGCCGAAAGAGCTGTTAATGTGAACGTCCCAATGTTTTTGGGCCTTAACTCTTGTGCAACTAGCAAAATACTTCAAACCTCGATCTATACATAACCACTCATAAATGTCTCCTAAATATACTCATTTTCAAATTTAGAAATCGGTTAGAAAGCTAACAGTCGGTCCCTCTCATTCACCAGCTGTGAATTCATTAAAGTCATTTTATTCATGTGTCTCTCTCTTCATAGGCCAGGTCATGTTAATGCAGAGCACTGCGCCCCCTGCTGGAGCCCCCGGTCACTGCGTGCAGCCTCACCGGGAGTCTGTGCAGCGGGGCGTTTAACTGGAGATGTGAGGGGAAGAGAGGATGAGATGAAGGGAATGGAGAGAGAGGAGAGGATGTGCGCTCGCTGCAGACACGTCTACTGGTTCTTCTTGTCTTCAGGTGGGGAGTAGGGTGGAGGCTTGTCCTTCAGGATAAAAACAAAACAATATATTTTTAAGTTATTACCCAAGTTACTTTTTTTGGGCTTTGATGAAACTCTACAGGTTGGACCTGGTTGTATAGACTTTGTATAGATGTTTAACTAGGTTGCATGAACTTTACTATACATGAACTTGGTAAATAGGCTGGACTTGGTTATATAACAGGATATACTTGTTTGGATAACAGTTTGGATCTTGGTATATATTAAGTTTGTTAATATTTGAACCGGGATGTACAGTAGGTAGACTTTAACAAGTATATGGATTTAAGTTAACTACACATGAACTTAAGTCATAAAGTCATAAATTAACTTGGTTAACAGGTCGAACCTGATTATTATTTGGAATTTGTTACCAGGATAGACTTGGTAAACAGGTTGAACATGGTTATATTTGGATTTAGTTAACAGGATACACTTGGTTAACTAGTTTGACCAGTTTATATATAGATTTGAACAAGTTATATTTGGACTTTAACAAGTTTAAATTAGCTACACATGAACTTTGTCGTATATGAATTGGGTTAACAGGTTAAACCTGGTTTTATTTGGAATTTAAGACAATTAACTTGGTTCCATAAGAACTTCAGTGTTTCCCCTGCCATTATATTAGGGGGGCACCCCGCCCCCCTTGAAGGTCAAGTTAATTTTATTTTCTATATAGCGCCAGATCACAACAGAAGTCATTAAAAGTTTGCCTTTAACATTTGCTTTACATGCGTTCTGATTAATAAAATGTAATTTAACCATTAAAAAGGAGTCCAGAAAAATGAAAACGGAAAAAATCGAATCCTTTTGGAAATGGAAACCTAGGGGAAACACTGAAATATGTTATAAATGAACTTGGTCAGCAGGTTGGACCTGGTTATATATGGAAGTTAAACATGGTTAACAAGTTGGTTAACGCACCTCGGGCAGGTAGACCCGTGTCGGAGCAAACGTAGTCGCGCTGGAACTCGCTGCAGCTTCAGCTGCTTTTGCTTCGGCTAGAACAACAAATACAGTCAGTTTATATAAAAAGTCTGTCAGAGTTAACCAGTAAAACAGTGACTTGACGTATAAAACTCAAAGGAATTCAGTTGTGGCTCATACCTGCGGGGGTTCTGGGCAGGTCTGGGTCCGGAGCAGCGTGGTTCATCGGAGCTGTATACGGCGGAGGAGGCATGTAGGCTGCTGGTCCATCAAAGCCAGGAGGGTTGGGGTAAAATCCACCTACAGGACACAAATAACAGCAGTTCAGTGTTTGAATACAAGTTTAAATGTCAGTACTTAAACAGCGAAACCAGAGATTTTGGCTTGTGAGGTCAGAGCATGCGCTGTTATCTCCGCCTACTGGAAACTTTTTCAGGCTTCTGATTGGCCAACATGGCTTTACGGTTGAGATTATATCGCCACCTGTTGGCTTGGCATGCTCTTGACAGTGCTTCATAGCATGCTTTTGCGTTTTCATGTGGACGGAGATTTTTTTTAAAACGGAAAAAGGAAAAAATACCCGTGTACGTGTGGACATGGCCTTAGTTTGCTCAGCACTGTTTAGCAGTGAATCTGACCTGGAGGTGGAGGTCCAGGGTAGGCGTATCCAGGCGGAGGTGGTGCGGCCGAATACATGCCGTTAGCAGGAGGAGGAGGAGGGTAAGCGAACGCCCCGTTTGCCATGTAAGGACAGCCGTAGTTTACAGTCACCGGTTGCCCTCTGGATGCTGAAACGAAGGTAATGCTTCCACATCAAATCTGATGCTAAAACATTTCTTTTTAATAAAATTATATTACTTTTAAAACTGATTGAGCACAAACGTACCCTGTGCTGCCACCTGTAGCATGCACTGTCCAAACTCAATCGCTCCTCCGGCAACAAAAATCAACTTGAAGGTTGCAAAACCTTCCCAGCCACCTGGAGCAGTGATGGAAACATGCTTTAGTATATTTTAGTTCCACGAGTACATTGTTACTTTCTTCCAAGGACCCGATTATTCAAATGAAAACTTGAGCAGGGTCACGATTCGGAGCGGAGTACTTTTATTTATTTAAAGTCTAACATGTTAACATGTAATACAAAATTGAACTTTTTTTTTTTTACATGAATGCATAATATTATATATATATTATATTATATATAGTATTTATTATTATATTAACACCAACAGTGTGTAATATAAAGGCCTGTCAATTGTTTTGAATTAATTACATGATATGAAAATTTGGTTTGTTTTAATTACTTTTTCTTATTTGTAAGTCGCTTTGGATAAAAGCGTCTGCTAAATGACAAAGTAAAAAGTAAGCAGACACAATAATAATTTTCGATATTTTGACTGTTTCATGTGGTTCGCGACCAGTGTTATTTTAGCATTATTTGTACCCTACTAATATTTATATTTGAATTCACAATAAAGATTTTTACAACAACGGATAGGGCAGTGGTTTTGGCCTGTGATTTGGTTTATTCCCTCATTGCACAGCTGCAGTGTTCATTTTAGGCTCGGTGTTTTACCTCCAGGCTCGGCGCTGATCGTGCCCTTGATGTAGTTGGCACCAAGTACTGGCTGTTTGACCTCACAGCCCTTCATAAGATAAAACGGCATCATGAACGACTGCAGGGGGTCCTTCCCTTTAGTCAAGAAGATCACCTAAACATCAAACCACATAAGCAGCAAATGATGAACATATTCATTTACTGAGGTTATTTACAAACCACTGAACAAGTCCAGTCAGGAGACAGACAAGGCCAAGACCATATTCAAATATATATTTAAAGATTTTCCTTGCTCTGTCCTTATCATCATTCAAAAATAAGATGATTATCTAACCCCTCCTCTTGTATTACGTACCCTGTAAGGTGTCAGGTAGATGCTTCCCTTCTTGCTTTTTCTGAAGGCTTCTGGCAAGCGTTCTGCGTCACTGAACACCAGCTCCACATTCTCATAGGACATCAAGACACTGTAGGAAAACAGATTTGTTTTATTACAGTCAGCACATTCTGTGCCAACACATAATGAACAAAGCTAGCTTTGCCATCACTGACAAGGAACAAAGACTTTTGCTTATAGTTTTAAAGAATACCAGCATCACTGTAGTTCTAAGAGCATTTTTCTATAATAATATAATATTATAACCCTAACAACAACAACAATAAAATATTAATAATATTTTAATGATTAATTATTATTTATAATAATATAAAAATGTAAGAAATAAAATAAATTATTTTACAATTTATTTGTAATTTATTACTATTATTATTGTAATTATAAGTTGTAGTTATATTTGTCTATAATGTTACAATAAATCATTATATATAAATAACATAAACATTTAAGAAATAAAAAACTAAATATAATAATGATAATAATAAGCAAAAATATTATATTAAACATTATATAAATAATAATAATTATTATTATTGTAATTATAAGATGTAGTACTAAGAACATTTGTCTATAATGTTGTAATAATTCACTATAAATAATAATAGTAGGAGTAATAAAATACATACAAATATTAATGATTATAAATAAAAAGTCAATAATAATAATAATAATATAAAAACACAAGAAAAATATTTTTATTGTTGTTGTGGACTATTATTGTGTGAATAATATAGCCTAGTAAATGTACTCCAAGATTTATTTTAGAGTTAATGAAGATAATGTAATGTAGAATAGATGCAGAAAAGTTAAATGAATAAAAAAACCTAAATAAAAAGATGGTATCAAATCTATTTGGGTATTTCTATGATTATTGGTTATTACTGATGATGATGTAATTGCTGGAGTCATCGATCTCAGTGTTAAGATCACAGCTATTGTGAAACTTTAAGAGCATTCTTCTTAAGAGCATGTCATTTATTTTAGCAGAAGCGTAAGAAGATTATTGCTGACCTACTGCGACTAACACAGCCATTCACGGCACAAACGCGAATCCTACTACGGCGAATGCTGAGCTCATTAATATTAATGACGTAACGTGGCATTCCTCCAGCTGATTGGCTGAAAGACAAATTGGAGGTTCACGCATCCGAATATTAATAAGGCTACGTGACTGAACGCTGCAGGAAGGTTTCCAAGCAACTTGAGCATGACTAAATTAATATTCATAGAGCACACTTCACCATAGTAGGATTCTGAAAGCTGCGCAAGATCCATGTTTTTAAAAAGATAACAACTTATGGGACTGAATATGGGCTACATTTACAGTGTGTAAACATGATGTTGCTTAAAATAAACACATAAAAGGCAGACGGTCTGAATACAGTGCAAATGAATAAAATGGGTGTGATCTAACGGTTCACGCGATGTTATTCAACACATGACACTGTAGACTGTATTATTCTTATTATGTGAATACAGAAACACATAACACACAATAATTAATTCAATATGGACGTTTTGGACAAATCCGTGCAGTCAGAAATAGGACAGTACCAGCTTTATATAATAATAAAAAACAATAACGGCAATATTAATCAAAGAGTCTGATTCCGCGACATTACCTTTCGCTGTTGTTGATGATAACACCTCCAGATTCAGAGTGATTGTTGTTGAGGGCCATGCTTGATTTCTGTCTGTTATTGTGTGAAATTGACGCTCTACATTCCACGAGCGCAACTCGAAGATCCACCTGCACTTCCGGCATAGGTCACGCCCCCCGATGACGTCAACGAGCGGGTTGGAGATATTTCCCGAACCTTCTCAAATAACAAATAAATACTTATCAAAGGAGAATCATCTTAATCTCATAATGTTTTATTTTTCTAAGACAGATAGATAAATTCTTTAAAAAAAAAACTGCATAAATTATTCTTGAAATGGCCAAAATAAAATTTTAAGACAGAAGGTAAATATTCTATCATTGAATTTTGATGTTGCATCCACTATTTTATACGGAATTGTTCTGTTTATATTCTGAACCATTTCTATTTTGTATAGAAATTGTATTTGATGCAATTACATAAAAAGTAACTAATTAAATTACAGAAAAAAAATAATAGTAATCCCTTACTTTACTTTTGAAGAGAAAGCAATTAAAAGGAAAGAAATTAAATTACAGTAAGTAATGCATTACACCTAACACTGTGTCCAACCAACAGCCAGCATCGACTTTTATTTTGTAATATGACATAATGCTTAAGTAAACCTTAAAACTACGTTAAAGAATGTTTATATTTCTATGTAGGTCAAAAGATTATTGTTTGGAGTTTTAATCCGTGCCATTGCTAAATAATAAATAATTTTCACGCAGCACCCCTGTGTAAAATATGGTATCTGCTGCTTCCGAAAGATCGTCATCTGAAACAGACGCCATTTTGGATCTTGTACCGAGAGGTATTGTACGTATACCCTTACGTCTACTGTGAGCCAACATGGCCGATAAGACTCCTCAGTTTCCTACCATGTGGATAACGCAGAACGTCGCTCTGCGTGAACTCGTGTCTGTTTCCTGCGTGCTGAAGTGGAGCAGCATGGCTTCATCTGCGAAGAGGCGAGCTATTGAAACGGGACTAAATCCTCAAGACAGCGATGAAAGCTCGGACGAGGGTCTGGAAGACTCTGGCGACGAGGACAATGAAGATTCAGAAGAAATAAACGAGGTAAGTTGCGATGTTACTGGAGCCAATAATGTCGTGATGTGCAGGCCAAACTGGCTCTGCGTTGAAAAACGTTGTTTTGTGATCAGTATATGTGTTTTGGGTTGTGTTTAGGAGGTTATCGTGGACTTTGAGGCACACACGATATCTGACAACGACTTTCATGGCATTAAAACCCTTCTGCAACAGGTAAGTTACAGAGACATTCATGTTTGCATTGAACTGAACATACAGATGTAACTTCCACTGCTCAATTTGCACTTCAACAGAGATTAAAAAGCGCAAAGAATATGTATACATTATATTTTCACTCATATGTATGTTTTTGTTTTTCCAGCTGTTCCTGAAGTCTCAAGGTGGCAGAGTCTTTTGATTGATAAAGAATATCTCTGGTTTTGAGACTTTAGTCTTTGCAACTTCAGGGATCTTATCTATGCACAATCAGCTTGTAACACTCCAAAGAGAAAGGAAAACTTGAAATCGCATCATATGACCCCTTTAAGAGAAACAATTAATTTGAATTATAAGCAAATCAACACTAAACTTTTAGAGACTTGTTTAAATAATAGTGTAATTTTTTTATTTACAAAAATGTGTTCCTTAATTTTTTTTTCATTTTGTAACTATATTTCACAGTATATTATTGCTTGTAATTAAACCTTAAAACAAGTTTATTTTTTCAAACCAGGTGTCACAAGGAAGTGCTAAAGAGAATTGTAAAGACAAAAATAAAAGATTAAAATGAATTAAAAATGTTTAAATAAATAACAAAATTAAGATCTAAATAAATGAATGAATAAAATATAATTAATAGAAATAAAAAAATGTAAACAAACAAAATAGACACCAAACAGTACATTGCAGCAATGTAATATACTAACTATATTCTCACATTTATAATATGCATTCATTATGTACAAACTTTTTTTGTACATGAAAATAGACAACATTTTTGCATGAGGGTTACTCGCATAAGGTTAATATATTTGGGGTTCATGGTATTTAAAAAATGAAAACCCCTGCCCTAAAATATACTGATAATCACCATATGTATAATATATTATTAAACGTAATGAACATATGGGTGAACAGTGTATATGTCCTATTATCATTGTAATTAATGTTTTTAAGTATCTTTTCTGTGTTTGACTCCAGCAAGCGGAGGTACCGGAGGACAGTGATGACGAGGGCGACCCAGACGAGGTGTTTGGAGTCATCAGCATGGTGAACCTCACAGAGAGACAGGTGATAATACCCCATTTCTGAATCTTCTCATGAATATCTGATGAATCATTTATTTGCGGCTCTGGATCAGTGCTGTTTGTGTCCCGTCTGATCGTCTCGTGTGTGTGTGTGTGTGTGTGTGTGTGTTGATCAGGGTGTGGAGTGTCTGGAGAAGCTGAAGGATATGCTTATAGAGCAGTGTGCCAAAAGCAGCTCCCCGGATGTTCAGGAGCGGTTCGAGCAGCTGCTGCTGGGTAATGCACAATTTGCACTTCAGCAGAGATTAAAAATGACAACGAATATGAATACATTATATTTACACACACACACACACGTATGTTTTTGTTTTTCCAGCTGTTCCTGAAGTCTCATGTGAACACATCTGATCTGACTGACATCATCATCCAGCAGAAGCACATTGGCAGTGTCATCAGGGTGAGACTCATTTGGATAATCATATATTTATTTAGTTTGATACTTTCAAAAATTGGTTTCTTAATTTTTGCTGTTATTGTTTTAATGGTAATTTATCTGCATTGCACATTATCATAGACTGATAACCACCATAATAATAGCTAATAATTAATAGTAATGGACATATGGATGAACAGTGGCTAGATTCAATTTTTTATGAAATATACTTAAGTTAATGGTCAAATATCAGATCCTGGTTGCAAAAACACTTTAAAGCTTAAAGGTGTCATATGATGCTTTTTTAAAGATCATTATTTGGTGTAACAGAATATGTTGACATGCTTTAATGTTCAAAAAACACATTATTTTTCAAATACTGTACATTTGGATCAGTGCTGTTTGTGTCCCGTCTGATCGTCTCGTGTGTGTGTGTGTGTGTGTGTGTGTGTTGATCAGGGTGTGGAGTGTCTGGAGAAGCTGAAGGATATGCTTATAGAGCAGTGTGCCAAAAGCAGCTCCCCGGATGTTCAGGAGCGGTTCGAGCAGCTGCTGCTGGGTAATGGACACTCTGTCGGGCTGCTGCTGAGCGAGAGATTCGTCAACGTCCCGCCACAGATCGCCCTCCCCATGCACAAACAACTTCAGTAAGTGTTCAGTGTTCTGACCAGCAGAGGGAGTCAGAGGGTGTGCTTCTGAAAATAATACATGTAGGCATGTGCAAATATAGGGTTCCAAATTTCTTAAGACAAGACACTACATGCAAAAACTTTAAAAAAAAAAATTTTTATGCACTGGTCAGTTGTGAGATTTTGGGTTATTTGGCTTTTCATAATGTGTTGTTCAGTATGGAGGGCCAAATCACTCAAAATTAAATCATGTTTAAATATATAATTAAATCATTAAATACATAAAGAAATGCATAAATAAATGAATACAGTTAACTAAGACAAATTTTTGTTACTTGAACTAAAATAAAAAATATTGTAATTTTTTTTTTAATTCAAAAGCTTTTTTCTTTTTTTTTAATTAATTTATTTCAGCTAGTTGCCTAGGAAATATTTCTTTTTTATTTAGTTTACTTTGATGTACTAAACAACTAAAATTTAAATAGAAATAAATTAAAAGTATATAAACATAAAAAACTACAAAAAATAAACAACAAATTTGTATTAAAGCTTTAAAATTAAAAGAGAAAATATAAAAATAAAAGTAATTAAAAAAAATATTTAAAAAATTATAATAATATCTCAATAATACTAAAAGCATGGTGATTTTATTTATTTATTTGCTGTTGATATCCTCTGTCGATATTTTCTGATTTGCGGAGAGATAAAAAAGAAAAATCTAAAATCTCTTCTGTAAAAACCTTTAAGTCTAATATGTCAACAAAATAAAAAAAGAAATTAAACCTGGCTTTATTTATCCAAAATGATCTTTTTTTATGCTGGAAATGTATGTAAATTAGTCCATTAGTTAGATAAAGCCTCATTTGCCTATTTAAACAACATATAAAAAAAAAACTTGTAATGCAAAAAACATGTTTGAAATTTGTTTGGTCTGATAATCGGTCAAATGGAAAAGTATGGTGATATATTGGTTACATTTTTTTACTCTATCCACCTGGAGTGTCTTGCCTTAAAAAGGGTCATTGAAAAGAAAAACTAATTATAAAGTGTGCATGATCAGTTGAAGAAATTATATTAAACATAATATAATGCATGGAAGATGCAGGAAACTCTGTCAGCGTTACTCTACTGCTGCTCTCGTGCTAATCGTGTTGTGTCAGGCTGAAGCTGTCGTAGTGTTACTGACGATCAGCGCTAATTCCGTCACCTGGATTTATAAGGATCTTTTGTAACCGTGTCTCTAATGTGGGTCAGTGTATAACACATGTAGATGAGCCACTTTACATCCCACAAAGTGTTACACCATAAAAAAACAACCAAACATTTCTCATGTTTCTAAAACACTCACAGAGCTAGTTTGAGAAACACAGTTTAGTGCAGGTGTTGATGGTATTCATGCTGTCTGGTTTCACAGGAAGGAAATGGCCGAAGCACAAAGGACCAATAAACCCAGCGGTAAATGCCAGTTCTGCCTGATGATCAGTAAAACCTGCAAACCAGTCAAGAAGAGCAGATCTGGTCCAGCTCAACCCAAAGAGGAGCTGCTGTTTGTGAACGACGAGGAGGAGTTCTTCTATGAGGTTCATTTAACTTTCACTTCTCATTAGGGCTGGGCCAGAATATTAGATTATTCGAATATTCATTCGGTGGGTTGGCATTCGATTTTCAATTTTGATATTCGACTATTCTTTTTTTCTTTTTCGAACACCTGGCATCCCCCGAGAAACGGTTCTCATTCGCGCTTGAATATGAATCGCCCATGAGTGAACGTCATGATTCAGTTCATCTGGAAGAGAAGACAAAACCGACCCCCACCGTCGTTTTGATTTTTTTATAGTAATAAAAATCATTTAGTTCAGTAAAAGAACAGACACTACAATTAAAATTGTTTCTTATTTAATTGGTTCCACATTGTTTGCTGATTTTTACTTTATTTAAACTTTGTGTAATTTATTTATTTTATTTGACATCAAGGTGTATGCCGTGCCTCCAAGCTTTCTTACTCGTTTTGCTAATAAACGTTCTACATTTCTTATTTATTTGGTTATATATTATACACGTTTACTTATTTCCAGTTTTGTATACCCATTTAAACTTAATGTAAGTTATTTGTTATTTTATATTAGGCGGCTTGCCCTATAGCATGGTGTATTTTTATTCGTTTTGTTAATAAAAGTTCTATGTTTTATATATAGGCTAAAGTGAGTTTGACGTTGTATTTTGTTGATGCATTCAAGCAATTGACGCCGAATTGCCGCTAATTCGAAAGTGAAAGTAAAATGCGCATGGTGCTTTTAAGCTATTTAAAAGCGAAGGAAAGCAAGGAAAAGAGGGAAAATTCAAACGAACTAAAAACAAACAATTGCTTTACGCCGAATTGCCGCTTTTTAAAAATGAAAGTAAAATGCGCACGCCGCTTTTGCAAGCTATTTAAAAGCGAAGGAAAAAGAGGAAACGCCCCCGCAGTGATGTCACACGTCGATTAACCGGTGGGAAAATGTCCTCGCCTTCACAACCCTATTCTTGACATAATAAAAATGCAAACAGACAGACAGACACACAGAGATTCCTGCCTTTAATAGAAAGAAGAATATGTTCAGCCCCCTCGCTCCGAAGCTTCGAATATTCGGTGTTGATTACTACCGAAGCTTCAAAGCGCAAAAAATGGAATTCGGACCAGCCCTACTTCTCATATCCCGACTTATATTGAAGTCAGTATGTCCTCAGAATGGATTTTTTACTGATTAGCACAGAAGTTTAATTGTCCAATGATTAAGCAGTGATGAATTTTTTTTCAAGGATATTTAAAATAAAAAATAAAAATGTTATACTTGCATTTTGTTTTAAATTTTTGCTTTTTGTTCCGTTTTAAAGTTTGTCTCGTCTTTTTTATTAGGTTTTTAAATGTCAATATAGTTTTTATTTCAGTTTTAAAAATTTTATTTGGCAACTAGCTGAAATAAAAATTGTAAAAAAAATATTGTATATTTTTTTAGTTCTATGCACTTATATTCCTTTTTAATATATTAAAATTGCAGCAATTGTTTTGCAATTTTTATTCGATTTTTTGTTTGAAAACTAGCTAAAATAATCTTAATGTTTGTGTTTCATGCAAATGATTTTATGCTTTTCACGTTAGTTAACTATAATAACCCTGCTTTGACTAATGAATTTCAATGACTTTTCCAGTTGTTCACATTATAAAAAAATAATTGATAGAGATTGCAATCAGAAAGTTTCTACCTAATTAAATGTTTCTGAGCTAAACATAACTAGAGAAATCCATGACGTTATCAATTGTTAATATTTAATTATTAATAACATTGAAACCTGAATATAATCTGCAGAAAAGGGTTGTTTTGGCTTGACCTTAAACACATTTTCTTGTTTCACAGCAAGCCACGCTGAAGTTCAGCTACTGCGTTCAGGACGAGGCTGATTCCTGTGCGACGGGAAAGTGGTCTTACGACGACGTACCGATGAAACCATTCCGCACGGTGATGGTGATCCCGACGGACAAGATGGGAGCCGTCATGGATAAAATGACTGAATATCTGACCGTCTGAACCGTCCAACACTGAACTCTTCTTGGTCTAGAAAAGAGATGTTTAATGTCCCAGGCCTTGAGCTTAAGGCGTAATGTATAAACCAGCCACAAACCAGTGAAATCATTTATTTCTGTACATAATCAGTTGAAATTACCCACAAAATAAACAAGCCAAACAGGACTCAAGTGTCTTTTGAAGAGTAACAATACAAAATAATTGAACACTATTTACACAAGTATGATTCGATGAGGTCACTGTATGACGCATCGGTCATGTGATTCGGCTTCTGCCGTCTCTGTCTTTGTTTCTGGCGCGGCCGCTTGAGGTTTTGTTCTTGCATTCCCCGTCCCGTCGCTGTCCAGAATGTGCTGCAGGATCTCTTTACTTTCACTAGGTGGCAGATTACAGAAAAAATACTGCGGTGCCATTTGAAGAAACCTGAAAGAGAAGGGAACAGGGCTTAGACTACGCAATTAATTGATCAAAAGTGCCAGTAAAGACATTTATAATGTTACAAAACATTTCTATTTCAAATAAATGTTGTTCTTTTGAACTTTCTATTCGTTGTGAAAAATAAAACCCTATGACTGTTTCCACAAAAATAAGCAGCAACACAATGGTTTTCAGCATTAATAACGATTCTTGAGCAGCAAATCAGCTATTCTGAAGGAGCATGTGACACTGAGGCTGAAAATACAGCTTTCCATCACATGAATAAATAAAATGTTACAATATATTCAGACAAAATAGTTATTTTAAATTGTAATAATGTTCCACATTTTTAGCGTTTTTATTTTATTTTTAATCAAATAAATGCAGCCTTTGCAAGCATAAGAGACTTCACACAAAAAAAAAAACTTACTGACCCCAGACTTTTGAATGGAAGCATATATTACTGCAATTTTTTAATTTTCAAGAATTTATTTTCAAGAGCAAACTGATTTTAATCCATTTAAAATTATGAATAATGAAAATAAATGTAGTTATTTAAAAAAAATAAAATACAATGAACAAATTGAATAAAAAATGATTGTCAGTTGTCAATGCTGATTGTAAAGCTTGTATTCCATTCTGGACACCAGAATTGTAACATTTCTAATAATGTTCAGGATGTGTTTATTTCTGCTAAATGAATGTAAGAAGAGCAAAGGTGAGCAGCAGCTGATCTGCTTTAATCCTCATGTGGATCTGAAAAGCTCTCTATTGTGAGACCAGATTACTGATGATGACACGTCAGAAAACCTGATCAGAGCAGGAGGACACACACTTACGCCTGCGGTGAGATCTGTGTGACGGTGCGGATGCAGTTGTTGTCGGAGAGGTTGTACTCGTGGAACAGAACCCACTCCGGCAGACCCAGTTTATGAGCTTTTGCTCCGTAACCCGACAGACGGTGAACCTGAGCCACGTGTTTGTTCAGCAGCATGAAGTAATTCCCCGAACCGTCCACATCTCTGGCGATCTGAGGGACACGAGAGCTTCAGAAAACACATTCATGACTGACGCTTCAAATTCAAGCCCAAAATATATTCAAATGAGACCTGAGGAAAAAAATTTAATTAAAAAGCTTTTTGGACTAAGTTTTTGTACTAACAAAAGGTTTTTTTTTAGTACAGTAAGGTTTTTTTTTTTTTAGAAAACAATTTGTAAAAAAAAAAAAATGTAAATAAAAAAATATTATGAAAATGACAAAATAATTATAAATAAAAACATTTTTAAATAATATAAATTGAAATAAATGAAACTTCACCACTGCTCCTGACTGAAATCTGACACACACACACACACACACACAGAGACGCTTAACACACTCTCGCTCTTCACCTGAGCATTCATGAGAGGAGGAGCGGCGCTCACATGGTTCCTTCTGGCTGCGTTTGAAGGTGTTGTAGATGTTGATGAGAGTGAAGTGGTCGCCCTCGGGATGCTGGAACTTCATATGACAGCGCATGACTTCTGTTGCCATGCCGACGGGAGGCTCGATGAAGCAGCTTGGTGCTGATGGAAACAGATGCATGAAAACAGAAGGAGCTCAAAATATACGGTGGAGTTTGAGTGTGCTTTTAAAACACATCCATATCTAGTATAGTTAGAGCTGATTTTTATTTATTTTTTTAAGATAAAATACTTTCTCAACTTTAGGTACACCGCCGCTTGTGCATTAATTACATACGTCACTATCAAGAGTCCTCATAGAACATAGAAATGATGCCACGAATCATGATGATTTGTAACTTTAAATATATTTATTTATTCTGAACAATATATTTATACAAGACATTTATATAATTCCTAATTTTACTGAGTTCATTTCTAATAACTATTTATTTATTTCAAATTTTTCAAATTTTTTTTAAATTTAATTTAGTTTAATTGTATTAATACACACATATTTATATAGTTACATTTTATTAATAATAAGTACATAACATACATAATTAAGTTATTTAAAAATATAATATAATAATATTAATAATATACAAAATATTTCATTTGTTTTTCATTTTAATGTCTCTATATAACCCATACATGACATTAAAAATTAATTAAATGTTAAAATAAGTTAAATTAAATTAATTTAATTTAATGTAATATAATATAATATTGTAATAATAATAATAATAAATATCTATAAATAAGAAAAATATAAAACACATGGCTGACTGGCTATTAGTCATTGAAAATCAGTTGGCCACATTTTTCAGTCTGTGTTCAAGCATTACCTGTTAGCATTGCAGCGATGGTTAGCATCTCGCTAGCGCAGTCAAACTCGCAGGACGCTAACAGAGCCTTCGCCATCTGCGGATCCAGAGGAAGCTCTGACATGATGATGCCCATCTCAGACAGGTTTCCATCGTTGTCCAAAGCAGCGAGATAATCGAGCTCCTCCAACGCCTGCATGAGGCCCTCGGGATCTGGAAGAGGAAATCAAAGCAAAAAACATGCAAACGTGTCCTTCTGCGACTTATTAAATGGGTTTAATGAAACAAGTGTGGGCAGTTGTCTCTGGTATTTCTAAAAATAAATCACTTGATGTAGATGGGCAGTTCTCCATGTTTCCACACTGACTGAGCCCTTCTCTTCCTGTGTATTGTGTCTGTTTGGTCACTAATGAATTTCTCTCTTTCTCCTCTGAGCTTCCCACCGTCCAAACAGTGACCAGAAACAATGAGTGTAAAGAGCTGTCAGTTCAGCAAATGCACACATGACCGAACGCCAGTCAGAAACCAGAAACCCATCCATACACCTTCGAAATAGCAACAATTATAGACTACAGCGAGACTTTACAGAATAAACCTGCCGTGTTCATGAAGAATTCTAACTTTTAGGTGATCTATCAATGGTGTTTATTATGGAAGCTTGGATAAAAAATAAAACTGAACAAAAATTTTAAAAGATAATTCTGACTTTTTCCCTTTGCAATTCAGAACTGGAAGATATAAACTCAGAATTGTGAGATATATAAACTCAGAATCGCGAGATTTTGTA